TAGCTGTATGTCTATTTTATTTGATATAAGTATGGCTTTGCCTGGATACAGACCCAACTCTACTTTCTGTATGCTGGAAGTGACCACCCGTAGGTAGTAGTGGTCCTAAGGAGTGGTCAAAGGGTAGTTCAGGCCATTGAATTATCTTTGTTCTTTTTACTGTGGACCCAGCCTAACTTGTGGGGTATACTCCAGATCCTCTGCACAAGTTTCCCAATAGCCAAACATGTGAGTACTACACCATTAAGCTCTCCCCTCTCCAGGGCTCCTTGCTGAGCTGCCAGCCCCATTCTTGAATCCTCTTTCCCAAACCACAGCATCCTACCTTTTCTTTCCACCTACATCCTGTCCTATGAAGTGTGATTGTCTGATGTCCAAGGGATGTTCTTCTATCACTTGAATCCACGGGACTCTCTGGGTGTAGTGTCCTTCTAAATATTAGATAATCTTGAGAACAAAAAAGGAGCCACTTCTTTCACCATCTTGATCTTTTTCCTATTTAATCTCTTTTGATGACATTGTATGACTTGTTTGTCTTTAATATAGGAGTCTAAGTTTTGTGCTCATTTTTTATATGAATAAAGAGTATTTAATTTGCTGTTCAGATAAAAGCAATGGGATGTATACTTTGAAATTAATGTTCTGATTCTATATTAATTCCAATGATGCTGCCATTTAAAAAAAATACAGATCTAAAATAAAATATTTATTACAATTCTTCTAAAACTGTTTGTGTACTCAGATATCTGGGCCAATTACCTGGAACATGGTTCAGAAATCTGAAGGAGTAATGACACATTTGGACATAATCAAGAAAACTTTCACTTCTGTACAACAAGGGAGTAAACAAAGGAGAGGTATTCAATATGGAGCAGAATTCTTTTTTTAATATTTATTTATTATATGCATACAAGAACTGGGGTACATGCCAGAGATGTGGAGGGTGAGAGGATTCACCAGAGACAGAATGGGGAGCAGAACAGGCAGTCTGACTGAAAACACTGCTGAGGGGAGCAGCGGGCACATCAGGAGAGGTCTGCTGTGCCATGTCGGTATCTCCCTGCCTGGCTGGGGATCAAACTCGTGTTGCAGAGGCTGCAATAACTTCACAGTGCTTAACCCCTTGTGCCACCAGGGAGGTCCAGAGCAGAATTCTTTCCCCTGCCTCTTAGAAGCCAGGAGTTTCATCCCTGTAATGATGTAAAGGGTGAGTACAAATTTCTCAGGACTTATGAAAGGTAGAGGACATATCTAGCAATTACCAAGAGCAGAAGGGCATACCATTTATTTCTGTGAATAGGCATTGGCTCTCATGCTTTCCCTGAGTGGCTATGCTTTGGCATGCCTTAGTGAGCATAGTCTTAAATGGATGAAATTTTGTCTAGTCTACACATCAGAATTTCACTTCCTTTAATTTGTATCATATTTTGTCCCAATATACTTAAATACTTTGTTGCTTACTACACTATACAGATCTAATTGAACAGACTTCTTGTTTCTAAATGTTAAAATCATTCACAAGGCATAATAAAAGATTTACAACCAGTTAGTGAAGAAATTCAACAATTATGTTACATTGTCTGAAAGTGGTTCTTTTGGAGGAGTGTCTAGTCTGCAGTGTTTGATTCATCACACTATTAGCGGAATGTCTGGCTTTTAAGAATTCCTTTTGATCGAAGCTATATATTTTTTTAAATCCAAGTAGTCTAGCGTCTTTGTTAAAAAGAAAAGAATCAAAATAGTCTCTTTTTAATATTAAAAATAAAACGTGGTGACATTTCTTTTTAGAGGTTTTCATCTAGTTATCCAATCTAATGAAAAAAATTTTCTAGATGGAAATATTTGATGAAATGAAGATGAAAATAATAAACTATTTCCCCACATCTACATTTACATCTATTAAACATTCTATTTTTTTTTGACCCAACATTGGTTTACAACACTGTGCTTGCTTTAGGAGAACAGGTTTATATCTCCTCAGATGTGTGTCACCACACTATAAACCACCATCAAAACAACCATAGTGCTTTACCATAGATCGTTGCACTCCCTTCCTCCACCTCAGTAGCCTCAATTCTGCAGTCATATTTCTAGGGATTTGTCTTGTTTTTCTTTATCCAAATAAGAGTGAAATCCTCCAGTATTTGTTTTTATCTATCTGACTAATTTCACTTAGCATAATAGCTTATAGTTCCATCCATTTTTTTGTCATAATGGCAAGAGTTTATCTTTTTTTTTTTAATTTTTTTTTACAGTGAGTAGTGTGTTCTATTGTGTATGTGTACCCCACCACATCTTTATAATCTGTTCCCCTATCATTGGGCACTTACGTTGTTCCCTTACCTTGGCTGTTGTCAGTGGTGCTACAGTGAACATAGGAGTGCATATATTCCTTTCATCTAGTATTTGCATTCTTTACTTAGATACTTGGGAGTAGAATTGATAGATCATATCATAGATGTATTTTTAGTATTTTGAGAAACCTTTATATTATTTTCCATGGGGGCTGGACCAGTATATAGTCCCACTAACAGTGTATGAGGTTTCCTTTTTCTCTACATCCTTGCCTACACACACACACACACACACACAATTATATTATATATATACATTATATAATCTATTCTCACAGGAGTAAGTTTGTATCTCATTCTAGTTTTGAATTGCATCATCCTGATAATAAGTGATGTTGAACATTTTTTTCACTTTTCATTATCCATCTATATGTCTTTTTTGTAGAAGTATCTTTTTTAACCTTTCTGCTTATTTTTGATTGGGTTCTTTGTACACTTTTTATTGAGTTCTATGACTTCTTTGTAGTGTTCGGATGTCAGCCCTTTGTCAGATGTGTGATATGTAAATATTTTCTCCCATTTCATTTAACATTTTATATCATCAGCATTTAAATGTTTCTGGCTTTCTTCTAATTATTGGAGTTCCTCTTTCATTCTCTTATGAGGTGAAAGATGGGAGAACGTTATAGTTTAACTTAAGGGGAGGGCCAACTAGACTTGGCTCTAAAGTCCTTTTCATTCATTATTTTGATTTTCTACCCAGAGCACTATGAAGTAGATATGATTGACTCCTCTAAAACTCGCCTATGATAGCTGAGAATCCTAACCTAAGAGTGAGGAGATGCTATCCTACTAGTTCTCAACTTGAGGTTTCTCTTCTATAGAATTTTTAAATTAAGCACTTAGATGAAATGTTGTACAGAAGCACAGTCAAATAAAATGGAGAAAAACTAAGCCACACTAGGGTTATTGGCAGATGTGAGGCTTGGAACCTCAGCTGTGCAGAGCTCCTCCACTGGTCTTTAGGTGGCCCCTGAGTCTTTAATTAGCACAACATGGAAAACCGGTACATCAGAGGATTAAAGCTCTCTTCCATTATTACAGGGCTGATTTTTTAAAAAAGGAATTATTTTCCATAATAACGTATTGTGCAAGGTCAAAAGAAAACTACAGATGTTGCTGACAGAAGAAAATCTATTTCAAAACTGATTATTAAACTGTTTTTAAAATTAAAAATAAGGAAAGGACAACCCATATTACCGTAAAGTTTGAAAGAAAAAGAATAGTTCATCAATTCAGAATTACAACATTTTCCAGTAGTATTCTCTTTGAACTGTTAGTTTTATTTAGAAAAAAAGACTCTTTTAAAATCCAATCCTTAACAAGTTTGTCAGAAATGCTCTGTAGTTTGCTTTATTCAATGTTTATTGAAGTGTTCTTGTGTTCAATAAGGTTTTATCTAGAAAATAAAAATAAAAAAAGAACAAAAAAGACAATCTGTGTATAGGATGTTTCCACAGCCTATAGGTCAAAGTAAACCAAAAGACTGGTGTTTCCTTCTGGCTTATGGAATTAATTACTCAATATTAGTTAATATTCTTAATATTAAAATAACTTTAGGTAATAAAAACACATACCTTACTTGTAAAACTTGACTCTAATGCAAAAACCTTAAGTCTTAAAACTATGCTAGAAAAAGCATTTAATGTTTGAGACTAATTTTTCTTTAACTCTATAAGCCCATCATTAAAATCTATTTGAAAATAAGAATATGTTTTCTTACAATTTTATTTTTAATTTAGAATACAGTTTTATCCCTCAAAACATCAAATAATAAAGAATTATGGTGACTAGACATCTTCCCTTATTTTCTGTTATAAGTTTACTGTATATAGTAAAAATTTTTATAAAACCAATTATTTTCTCATTAAATGGCAAATATTAATGAAACCTGACTTCAATATAAAGTTAACTTTGAACTTTCAAGATATAACTTTGGACTGTAAGGTATAATTTTGGAATAGGATTTACCTGCCAGGATAATATCATGGCAGGGAAATTTTTGGGGAGGTAGACTGAGTCACTTGGGGTGAACAGAGTCTCTGTATAAGTAAAGATAGGAGCTAATCTGGGGGGGAAAAGTCCCAAATTATAGTCGTGGAAAGGTACTAATTTGGTGAGTATTTCTTAAAGTGGGTTTTCATGATGGTACCTTGGCTCTCTCTATAAGAGCTATGTATTGTGTAAATCTTATACTCAGTTCAGAAGAAATTCCCTCTTAATGTGAAATGACCTTGTAGAATGACCTCATTTCAACTTAAAGTGCAGTTAGTGATTTTTGTTGTAAAAGTATTTCTACCTATTTCTCTTCCTTCATAAAATTTTTCTTTTAAATAATCATTCTAATACTTTAATTTGAACACTACCACAATTTCTTTGGTGTAATATTTATTATGTTAATATGATTTAGGTATCTACTGACACGTAGTATCTCAGTTTGTCCAAAGATTTAGAAGCAAATCTTTAGTCATTTATAGAAATTCAGTATCTTTTTCTGTGAGTCCTTGCTGTTGTTATAATTTAGAAATTGTCAGTATTATGTGTTTATAGTTTCTCTAAAACCAAGAATTTCCTTGGGGGCATACTTTATTGCTTTCACATTCTTTCCTGCTCTGTTAAGTCTAATGAGGTTTATCTGTCCTTTAGGTGACCTACAAACGAGATTTGTATGCAGCTGAATCGATTATTAAAGGTATGTTTGGCCTTGTGACTGTCTGTTCCTGTGTTTAAAAAATGTAAGCCAGTTCAGAGTTTCTCATGACATTCTAAGTCCCAGCAATCTCAGAATTATAAATGCCTGTAGGCCATGGAGGTCTGTGATTTGCTTTTTTTCTGAAAAATAATTACATTTTATTTTGTGTTTCCTGCTTGTGAAATATCACTTATTACAATTTATGTCACATTGGTTTTAGTTTTTATGAAGGAAATACTTTATTAATTTGGGAGAAGTAAAGGATATTGACACTAGAAATAAAATAGAAATAAAATGGATTTTAATGAATATATAAAGATACTATATTTATTTTTAGTGTTAAGAGGACTGTTCCTTTAACCCCCAACACTGTTAAATTAGTACATTAGAGAGTAGTTCCCATATGTAGAGGCAGGACCACAGGGCAGGTTTTCCTAATATCCAGCAGACCGGGTAAAAGAGGAGTCAGAGTCCTCAGTGGTTTTTTGCAAGTTTTTATTGGGATTTACCAGGTACACAGCAGGCGGGGGCACTGGGGGCCGGGAGGCTGGCAGGCCTCCCTTCCCCCAGCAAGTCTTTACTCTTTCTGGGTTCTCCAGCGTTCTCTCTGCTTCTCTGCTCTTGGCTTCTCTTTCAGCTTCTGCTGGCGTCCCCGTGATGCCGCCCTTAGAAGCCCAGTCTCAGCCCAGGTGAATCCCATCTACCTATGCCCACACCCTACTCCAGGTGCCCGCCATCAGGCATGCATTCAGGACCGCAAGGATCCATCATCTATCCTGATGGCGGGAGGGCAGAAAAGCCTGATGTTTTTCCTTACCCTACACCATATGAGTGAAATTTTTTTCCTAAGGAGTGGAGAAATTAGACTGGATGGTTATTTAATTCTTTTTATTTCTCACAAAGACTGCATTTTTTTCTCATTTTAGATATTACACGTGATAATCCCTTTCTTGTTTTTCATATCTATGATTCATAGATCCTGCTACACAGAAGTAGTTTATTTAATAATCAACACATTTATTAATGTGCATGATGTCGTACTAGGATTGTAATGTGGATGCACATGAGATATTCATTCTGTGTATTTGCAGCCTCTGTGATTTAAAGTAGAGCGTCTGAACCCCAGCACTATTGACATTTTCAACCTAGTGACTTTCGTAAGGGGACTATTCTGTGCACTGTAGGTGGTTTAGCAGTATATCAGGCCTCTACTTGCTTGTTCAAGACTAGCTCACCCTCCCTCCCCTCCCCCTGGAGTGACATCAAAGATGTCTCCTGACAGAACCACTGTTTTAAACATACAGTCCTAGCAAGAGCACAATCCTGAAGCAAGTGTGGTGTTTTACAATCTGTTAGTAACTGACTCCTTAGAAAATAGATGAAGAGTAGAACTGTGTGCTCAGGCTTTCATTGAGAAGTAAACTTCTAAATTCAGATGTTGATTGAAGTTGAAAGAAATGCTGAATCTGAATTTTGAATGGATCTAGTTTACTCTGAAATTTTGAGAAAACCAATTCAAAAATTAGTTCACATTCTAAAATTGAAATTGTTTCTCTGGTCATGATGTACTTTGTACTTTTAATTTACCCTCAAATTTTTTGTACTTCAAGAATATTGTATTTCAAGCCATTAATGTACTATAATTTGTGCATCTCTGTATCTGTATGTAGACAAATCATCTATAACTATAAATCAGAATGTTGAAGTGGATTCACATATAAGCCAGGCCATGTGTAAACATCACTCTGGAGAAGTTTGCTAAGCCATGATATGGTTGGTTACATTCTCAACACAAAGAAATACAAAGCTTGGTTTAGTTTCTTGTAAAGTCATCTCTGTTACCTAGTTAAAATGGAAATGATTTATTTTGTAAATAGTTGGTGAGTGGTTCAACTGAGGAGTCTGTACATTTCAATACTTTGCTTACATGTTTTGGATGCAGTTTTCTTATATAAAAACCTGATTTTTGGTGTAATTGTAGGGGCTGTTTTGAAAATTGCAGATACATTGTTTTTCTTATTCAGTAAGAGATGTTCTGATATGCTTTTTAGGTGCTATTTTATTTTTTAGGTGCTATAACTATCTTTTTTGTTGTATTTTTTTTAAAGTTTATTTATGCATGCAAGAGCTGGGGTACAGGCCAGAGGCATGGGGTGGAGGGTGAGAGGATTCACCAGAGAGAGAGTGGGGAACAGAACAGGAAGATTGACCAAAGTACACTGCTGAGGGGAGCAGCGGGTGAGTCAGGAGAGATCTGCTCACCACGTGGGTTGCTCTTTGGCTGACCAGGAATCGAACTTGTGCTGCAGTGGCTGCCGCAAACTGCATAGGTTGTGTCTTAACCCTTGCGCCACCAGGGAGGCCCCTGTTGTGTTATTTTTCATTTAACTTTAGTTTACAGCACTGTATTGGAGGTATGGCATTACACAGCCTGAGATACATGTCACTACACTGCACCTACCACCAAGGTACCCACAGTCTTCCACCAGAGTCCTTAAGATCCTATCCCTTTGTTTTCCATGGCCACCCTCTAGCTCTGGTAACCTCAGTTCCACAGTCTGATTTCTAGAGTTTGTTTTGTTTTAGTTTTCTCCTTTCCTTTGTTTTAGTATTCTGCCTTTTTTCTTAGGGAAAGGAATGTGTCTGACTGGATTGTAAACAACTGATTTAGATCAATCTCTGAAGCTTACTTCTGCTCTAGGGCTTGCATTTCTAATAAATCTGAGGTGATTCTGATGATTCTCATGTACATTGAGGACCACTGCTCTGGGGCTTTCCTACAGTACTGTGGGCCTCTTGGCCATCAGCATAGTGATTACCTGGGACCTTCAATGCAGAATGCAGTTTGTATTTAACAAAAACTGGCTGAGTAGCTTATAGTTTTAATTCCCCTGGGCTGCACTTCAGTCTTTCTATGGGTCATTTTCTATCTAAATAATAGCTTTATTGCATTAAGATCTTGAAATCTTACTGTGCTCTACTAGCTCCAAATGCGTGTTTACTAAACCGAGATTACTACCTGCCTGTTTGACTGACATGAATACTATTTTTGAGGTCTTGATAACAGAAATACCCTTGGACATAGGACAAAGAACTCCTAAATTGTTCAAAAATAAAATTACCAAATATATATATGGGAAGCCAACTATCTGAGCTATATATTCACTTGTTTGCCTACTAAATATCAGAAGTATTTTATTAGAATAATAGTGCCTAATAAAATTTATTTATTGAGTACTTAATTTGTGCTGGACATCATTTAAGGCATTTTATGTATATTGACTTTTGCTTTTCCAAGAATCAATGATATAAGTAGAGTTATTGATTTTATATTATTAAATATTCAGAGGTTCTAAGCAAATACTAATTTATGGATAGAAAATTTTTAACTGTAAACATTTTTAACTGTAAAACTACCTTAGGTAGTTTACTTCTTCATAGAATTATTTTCTTTTATCTTAAGCAGAAATTGTTCACATCCCTTACTCTGAAATATTTAGATTATATGTGTGATGGAATTTCAAATGCTTTGTATTTTCAGAAACTAATGTGGTATGTCATATATTATGCCCCATTACCAGTGGGATTTGAAACCTCAAGATGAAATGAAACTTGTAATATGTGACTATTTATTTGTGATGCAAGAGTAATGTTTATAGAGTTTCTAGCTAGCTCAAATTCAGAATTGATATGTTGCACTACATTTATATATGAATTTTTTTTTTTTTTGGTTTTAAGAACTTTTTGGATTTCATCTTTGCCCGTAGCTTGGTGTGACCTCTTTTAGATTGTGAATCAGTTGAGACGGAATAATACCTATTTTTATTTCTTTATCTTCTACTATTGAGCTGAACTGAATTGACTTATATGGTTAAAGGTTTTGCTACATTTTCTTCCTTAGAATCTGAGGGCCTTAATTTATGGAAATAGGTGAGCCTTGCCTCTCACCTTACCAATCTACCTGTTTGCACAATTGTATATTGGGCTCCATTTAATGTATTCCTATATCAAATGTCTTTATTATTTTCTTTTAAAATATGGACATATAATATTTGGATATTTCCACTTTTTTCAAGGCTTAAAACCAGGACTGGCAGCACATGACTCTCATGACAGACACTTTCTATCTATTATCCCATTTGCTCTTTACAATAAACCCAGATCTCACTTAGTCTGACTCTTCTAAATGTGGCCACTTTGTACTTCTGAGTCATGCAGCTATTCATGCTGACTCTGGAGTTGATACTGCACTTAATTTCTCTCTTTTGGAGGGCCTAGCACATGGTTTATCAAATTCAGCCTGCCTGAACTCATTCTATTAAGCTAAAACTGTAACTTCAGCTGACCTGATAAAGAAGGATCACACAATGGAGAATGAGATAGTACATCCCAGTACTGTGTTAAGGATACAGTATAGTCTCTAAAAAGTGTGGGAAAAATTGAAATGACATGTTTCTAGACATGCCCAGAGAATGAGTCAAAATAAAAATTAAAAATCCTAACAGTGGTTTTAAAGTGATGGTTAGGTACTCTTTCCTTTCCTTTTTAAATTCTGGTAGTTGGATGTTAGGGACCCTCAAGTATTTTTCTGAGATGGACCTTTTTGTTCATGCTGTGATAGGAGTGCTTAGTATTCTGTAAGTTTCCCTTCCTGAAACTTCTTTTTCATTTGAATACCAATTACTGCTGATCAACTAATTGCATTTTGATGTAACTATTTTCTTGTTTACTTTTTTTTTCAGACTCTATAAAACATTTTTTTTTTTTATGAATAGCTTGTCTTGCAAGAGCATTTTGTACTCCCAAATTTATGTGTTCTTGGGACAGCATATATATTTTGGTTCATTTTAATTTATCTTCAAGTTGATATCTTTTGATTTGGTTGTAACTAACTTCAGGCAAACTTTTGACTAGACTGCCCAAATTGTGATTTATAATAAGTCTTGAATCTCACTTTTAATTTATGTTGTCAGATAAGTCTTATTTTTCACTTTAATGCT